GCTGTCTTCCCTCAACCTGTCCAGTCCAAATCTAGAAATTTTATAAATAAAACTTAGAGATGTTCCCTTTTACCCTGTGCCCACAGTCCATGCCCACACTGTCATTGCCCTTTTTCCACGCTCTCAGCATTCCCTTTGTGCAGAGGTGAGCAGGGTCTCTGAGCTCTGGGGAGAGGGTGGGAATGTGGAGGGAAGGAAGATGGGAGGAAAGAGAAGCTCTGGGGGCAGGATGTGATGGGCAGAGGGGTCAGAAATGAGATTGAGGGAGATGGAAGGGCAGAGGGAAATGGAATAGGGGCAGAAGAGAGGAGGGACATGAGCATCCAGGAAAGGAAAGGAGATACATTTGGAATGGATGGTCTCACGCTTGGGTGGGAGTGAGAGATCAGGCCGTGCAAAACAGGGAGTGGAGGGAGCCTGAGGATGCCAGGAGGGAGGCAGCAGGATCAGAGCTGCAGGTCAGGGGGGAACAGAGCATGGCTGTGCCTCTCCATGGGCCTCTCTGTGCTTCCTGGCCTCTCCCTGTGTGTTTTTGGGAGCTCTGGACCCTTCAGTGTGCCCCCCCTGCACCCTGGCTGTCCCTTAGGGAGTATCCCAAGCCCTGGTGTCCATTTTGGGGGGTATCCCCACTCCTTGGTTGGTTTTGTGCCATGCCCAGGCCCCAGTGCTGCCTTTGGGTGCCCCTGGCCCCTGGCAGTGCCTGTCTGGGCTCTCCCCAGCCCTCACGGAGCCTTTTGGGGTGCACAGAAGCTCTCCATGGGGTTTTCTGTGTCACGGAGCCTTTTGGGGTGCACAGAAGCTCTCCATGGGGTTTTCTGTGTCACGGAGCCTTTTGGGGTGCACAGAAACTCTCCATGGGGTTTTCTGTGTCACAGAGCCTTTTGGGGTGCACAGAAGCTCTCCATGGGGTTTTCTGTGTCATGGAGCCCTGGGCTGTGCACTCCACAGTGTGTGTGAGCATTTTTTGGGGAGTCCAGTCCCTCCTCATCCCTCTGGCTGTGCCCTGGGCACCCCAGAGCTCCTTTGGCTGCCACAGAGCCCAGGGAGGTGTCAGGAACGTTCCCGTGGGGGCTGTGGGGTTTCGTCCCTCCTGAGGGGGCAGAACTGGCTCAGCCACGCTCAGGGAGAGGCAGAGACCCTGAAGAAGGGGCACAAACCATCAGAGACCCTGAAGGGACCACAGACTCATTCCTAGGCCTTCCACCAGAGGACTGGGTGTGACCCCAGTGTTACACTGGACCATGTAAAACTCCTGACCCCAGGGAAGGTACCTGGGTGTTCCCACTGAGCCTGAATTAATGCACTGAACTTTGGATTTTTGGAGCTTCCACCCTTGATGGAACCAGACTGTGACCACCACTTTGACTGTGGACACTGAGGTTGCAATAACCAAGTCTTGTCACTGGACCCATGGGTGGTGAGACCTTTCCACTCTCTACTCTGATCCTTTCTTTTTTTCTTTCTTTTCCTCATGTATTTTCTAAAGTGTTATTTTTATACTTTTATATTGGTGTATTTCTAAAGGAAATAACCAAAATGGCTACATAGATGACTTGCATTGCAACCAAAGTGTTAAAATAAATGTGACGTATATATAAAAATATATATGTATGTGTGTGTGTACACAGCAATCATTCAGTGTCCTTTCATCCATTCCAAGGGATGTATTAACCCAAGAGCCTGGGTTATCCCAGCTCAGAGATGCCCTGCAACAGCTCTGTTGGAATCTGTGGTGTTGGTGATTCCCAGATTGTAAAAGTCTCTGTCTGTCAGCCCGCTGCCAAAGCAGAAGCCATAATTGGTCTGTGCTGGTTTCCAGGTTGTTTATTCTGTTTATCTCTCACATGTTCTGCTGCCCTGCCCAGCTCTGTCCTGCAGGGCAGCGTGTGGGGCTCTGCCCTCAGTGGGATGTTACAAACATTAAATACCAGAAACTCCCTGGGCTGGATTTACAAGAACGTGCCAATATCTGTCACCTACGTTGGACAGTGTGTCCCCAGCCTGAACCAACAGAAAAATGCCAACACCACAGTGAGACATGGAGGGCATGAAGAAGGAGAAAAAGGGCAAGGCACACCCAATTTCCTCCATCTTGTCTCCTTTCGATCCCTCATCTAGAATCCTAAAATTTTACTTTTGCCTGTGTAGGAATGAGGCCCACAGTCTGAGATAAGGGATTTCCATGGGATATGTGCTGGTGGGAGTATCCAGGTGTGATCACCTGCTGAGAGGGTGATGGGTTATGAGGCAGAAGCCAGATAATCCCTGTCCTTGGAATCTGCCAGGGGGAAGAGGGAGTGCTTCTCAGGTGCCACGTTCTGTTCTGCCCTTGCCAAGACCCAGAGCTTTTTTAATCTCTCTCGTTATGGCTCTTGATATCCCTCATTTCTGGATAAATTGGATGCTCCTCCCTCCTCCCCAAAGCATGGACACCCCTTAGTGAAGATGCCTCCAGATGCATTCCTGGGAACATTTGTCCTGCACAGCTTTTGTGGGTCCAGTGCATTTATCACTCTCAGTCTAACAAGAGTCTGTAACCTGCTGCTGCAATAACTGCACTGCTGGTGGATTTCTGTTTGTGAAAGTCCCGCTGGATGTGACCAGACCTGCCAAGTGCAACTGGCTCCTGTCAGGAATTCAGCCCTGCTGCTCCCTCTGATCCCTCAGGATGAGCTGGGAAATCAGGTTTGTTTTCTGCCAAACCCCAAACTCGTAACACAGCAGTTATCAGTGTAAATCATTCCAAATCCATTCCCATCCGATTTTCCAGCTGCTTCAGCAGTAGCTGTGGGACACTCCTTGGAAAGGGCAGTGGCTGGGTGGGGACAGCCCCTCAAAATGAGGAGTGCAGCCTCCTTCTCCAGGGCCAGGGGGTGTCTGTGTCAGTGTGGGGCTCTGCAGCCCCTTGATGACACATGTGAGGTCACAATGGGACATTCTGCCTCCGTGGAACCGTAGCACCCACTTCCCTGGGAGACCAGCACAGCTGTGGTGCCTCTCTGTCCCACCAGGCCTCCCATCCTAAGGCCATAGGGGGATGGACAGCAGGAGAGAAAGAAGTCAGGCAGGAGGAGCTGCAGCCATGACCAAGCTTTTCTCTAGCTTCCTGCTCACACTGTCTCCGGATCTTGTGTACTTCAACAAGGATGGTAAAGCCTTGAGGTCCCCCAAAATCCTGGCGTCCTCCTGCCCCTGGGGGTGGGAATGTGTTGGTTCCTTTGCCCAGGGAGAGGGTCCCTTTGGAGAAGGGGATCTGGCACTAGGGAAGTGAAGGGAGGATGATGAACTTCGTAACTTCAGCACGGCTCTTTCTCTCGACAGAAATCACTAAAGTTTGGGACTGTGTGTCTGAGTGCTATCACCAAGACCTGCTGCTGAAGAAGGTGGGGCTGCTTTCCTCGTGGTCCTCCCCCAATCCATGGTGGTTTCCTGATCCTCCCCCATCCTGTCTGGCCCTCAGCCAGCCTGGAGGGCAGAAGTGTCCCAGGCTGCATTTTAGTCAGAGACCTGCTGTGAGCACAGGCAAGGAGTCGAGTGATGCTTGAGTAGAAGAACATTGGATTTCCTCTTTGGAGCCTTTCCCAGGAAGGCTGGAAAGGAGGGACATCCTCCTTTCCAGCCATCCCAGGCCTTCCTGCACTCCTTGGGCCTCCCCAGGCTCCAGGAGTTTCTCCCATGTGTCTTGCACCCTGCAGATCCTGGAGAGGAGGGAGTGAAGAACCATTTGGAGTGAAAGGCTCTTCTCCAAAGCTGTCGTGGGGACTCCATCTCAGGCCTTGGAGCTTCAGGGGTGGAAAGGCCACAGATCACCCTTTGCTTTCCCTCCTGTTTGCCCTCTGATTGCCTGCTTTTTCTTCCAGAGAGTTGGGCTGATGGGCCTGGGTACCCTCCACATCATGAAAAGACCCATCTGGCACGGAGAAGGGGAAGGTTTCATGGCAGACAGTCTGGAGTTTAATCTGAACAAGCCATTTCTGGTGGGGGAGAAGCTCCTCCATGGGAAAAGCCCCGTGTCTGGTAAGATGAGCCCTTCAGCCCTGTGCTCCCTGGGTCCCTCCAGGGCTCTCTGGGTGCTCGTGGAGTGCTGCTGCTGCTGCTGCTGGAGAGCTCCTGGAGATGCTTCTGAGAATCTCCTGGCACCGAAGGGACTGATGGTCCCCACCACCTTGGGAAGTCAGGAACCATTCCTGCTGGCTCCTGCAGCCACCTGAGAGGTTCTGTGGAGCTGGAGCGTGGTGGCTGAGCTGGCAGTGCAGTGGGGCTCATGGCACAGAAGCAGGACATTTGCTGCTGGGTGAAGAGTCACTGGTGGGAGGGGGTTGGTGGCTCTCAAGGGGCCACAGAAGGGCTGAGTGAGTGACTTTGTGTTGGGTGGTTTCTCCACAGGGCTCTCCAAAGCGGACGAGTTGGTCTGTGCTGAGGTGGCCTTGCGCCTGCACAAGTCCAAAGCCACCATCATTACGTGCGTCAAGGCCACGCTCAAGATCTGTGAGTGGGCCCTGTCAAGTGGCCAGAACTTCGACTTTGTGTTCAAGGACATCGGCGTCCTGGTCTGCCGGGGAAAACGCGTGGCCATGAGGTTCTTTGAAGGCTTGGTCCGAGAGGTGGCTCAGTCGCAGAGCGTGGCAGACGGTTTGCTCCAGGTGAGTCTGGCACGTATTTCGTGTGCCCCCAGACTCCTGGGGACACCGCCGTGCCCTTGGGTGGCTTTCCATGGTCCTGCCATGCTGCTCCCAGGGAATCAGCCCTGGGCTTTGGCTCCTGTGGAGAAGCTGCTGGCATGGCCTCGTTGTCCCAAAACGCCGAGGTGGTGGAGATGGATGTTCATGGATTTGGGACAGTGTAGGGGCACAGGGTGGTGGGGAGAGAGCTGGGGCTGGGCGTTGAGGAGAGGCAGCTGGGGCTAGGAGAAAAGAGGGGTTTTGTGCCTTGTGAAGAGCAGGCAAATTCCCTGTGGATCCTGCCATATCTTGTCCCTGTTGCAGTCCCCAAATCTGAAGCCGTTGTTCATCGCCCACACGGAAAAGGACATTTCCCAGTTTCCTCCTGGAGGCGTCTTTGTGCTGCCGCAGTGAGTGCAATTGTTTCTGTGCATGGCTGGGTGATTATCAGCAACACCTTTTGGTCCTGGCTCCTCCCACGTGGGAGGAATCCTTGGATGTATTTCATTTTGGAGGTGGAATTGAAATGGTGCGAGGTCCACGGCCATTCTGAATTCTTTGGGGAGCATCTTCAGGTGGATGCCCTGGGAAGAGGGATTGCTTTACCTTCCCAGCTCAGTGGGAAAGACCACTGGAGGCAGAGCTGGGGCCATGGAGCAGACAGCTTCACCAGCTCCTTCCTTGTCTTTTGAGAAGGACTGGGAGCCAGCAGGCCCCAGAGCCTGGGATGCTCTCAGTCACGGCGGGTTTGTTTTCTCTGGAAAGCATCTCTGGGATCCCAGACCTGGCTGAGAGGAGCCCTGTGGAGGGAGACTCTTCTGCCCGTGCTCCAGTGTTATGTTTCCTTTGGAAAAGTGGTGACCTGGGAACAGCTTCTTCCCACAGGCTGCCATGGACTCCACTGCCCGTATTCCAACTGGTGTCACCACCTTCTTTGCAGCTTTGTGCAGGCAGATGGGAAGTCCCAGCCACATCCTATAAGTGTTTACCTACAAGGCACTGGCACAACATGCAAAACCAACACCAAGCACCAAACGACTCTGGGTACGTCCCCTCCTAGGAACTGAGGTCCTCCATGCCAAAGGGAATTCTGTCTCCTGCCAGAAAATTGTCCCAGCAGGTCCCTCTTTTTCTGAATGGGGACCCAAGGAAGCAGTGGGACATCCCTCAGGGAAGGAGACTGGGCTGGGACAGGAAGGCTGGGACATCCCTCATGTCCAAAGCATTCTGGAGATGCAGCTGAGAGGAGCTTCCTCTTTTTCTTCTTCAGGAAACCTTCCCAGCCAACGCCTCCTTCGTCGTCCATGTCTTTCTCCAAGTCGGATACCTGATGTGAAAGTGACGGGAAGAGAGAAGAAAAAGGCTGATGGTGGAGTGCAGAGAGGGAGGTGAGAGTCTGGGAGAGCTGACTTTAGGTAATTCCATGCTCCTGGACAGGTGTGAGGAGCTGTCACCTTTGGCCATGCTGCCTGCACTTATGGAGAGCAGACGTGGGCACATGCCCTAGGCCTTGGTCCTTCCCATGGCATGGGAAGTGGGCAGCAATGTTTTGGAGAGGCCTGGAAAAACACCAGAGAGGATGCTCTCACTGTTTCTCTCAGAGAAACTCTCTTTTCAGTTTTCTGCCTCCAATTGAGAACTCTGTGAAGAAGGGCAGAGCCACCGAGGAGATGGAAGCACCCAGAGCTGGGCTGGCAGCTCCCACCAGGCAGGGAAAACGTGCCAAGGTGTGTTACGTGGATGTAGGACCATGTTCTGCAGCACTGCAGGGAGGCTGTTGAAAGGATCTCTTTGCATCTGTCCCTGCTGGGATGTCTTTTGGGTCCTCCATTCAGTCCTGGGAACAAATTCATCATTCTGCGCTGTGCTGCCAGGAATCTTTCACTGGACTGAACCTCTGTGGTGTCCAGACTTCTTCAGGAAGCAGAGGGTCACTGCCAAGAACTCTAGGGGATGGAACAGGGATCCAAACTGTCCTTTGGGTCATGGGCTGCAGGATGGGACTCTTATTGTTGCCAAAATGTCTGAGCTGCCTTCCCTTTGCTTCATGTAACAGCTTCCACCCCTGGCAGAGAAGGGGAGTCTGGAGAAGGCTGCTGCGTTCTCTCCTGGAGGATTTGAAAGGCTAAGGAAGGAGAGAGTGGCTGCTGTGGCAGGAGTGGCTGCTGCTTTATCCCCAGAAGGGACCAAGGAGAAGAAGACACTGTCCCCTCAGAGAAGACCACAGCCAAGGTACGAGTGCTTGTTAGGAGCAGGGGGGTTGAGCAGGTAGGAGGGACCCCTTTAGGATCAAGGAAGTGGAGCCATGAGCTCTGGGCTGGGTGTGGTCCCTTGGACAGCCCCTGACATGGGCATGCCCTGGGGTAGCCCCTGCTCCTGGTGTCCCATGTGCAGAAGGGGCTGGTGGGGCCAAAGGGAAGAGGCAGGATTCCAGCCAGGGTGTGAGAGGAGAATCTGTCCCTGCCTTGCAGGACCCCACGAGCAAAACAGGTCCTGCTAAATCTGCAGCCATACAGAATTGCCCGGGAGCAGTGCGCGAAGGCCTTGCAGATGAACCAGTTACGGAAATGGTCCAACGACGATTCCCTCAGTAAGTATCTCCAAGCAAGGATGCATTTTCCTGTGGCAGCATGTTCCTCCCCTGCCTGGCTGCAGCACTGTCTGTGCTACTGGCTGGGTGTGGGGGGTCCTGGAGCTGTCCCTGAACCAGATCTGCCTTCCAGCCCAGGGTGACAGCCTCAGGCAGGACGAGGCAGGTGGAGACAAGGTGGGTTCCTCTGCTCTCTGGCCTGGCCTCTCCCAGGTTGTGGGCTGGCAGAGCTGGGTCTGCAGGGCAGGGGTGTCTGGGAGACTACAGAACCTCCAGGAGAGGTGAGCAGAAGGTCTGTGACCTCCTGACTGTACCTCCTGAATCCTGAACAGCTTCTGGATCTGATCTGAGCTTGGTGAAGAAGCTGGAGGTCCACTAAGAGACAGCAACAGAACTGGGACATGGGGGCAACCACATGGCACCATGGAAAAAGGAATAAAGGCCTAGAAACCCATCAGCTTGGTGTGTAAATTGCTGCTCCACACCAGGGATTGAGTCCCTGGTTGGGACAAGAGTGTTTGGTGATGCAGATGGGACTGGTGGACGTGGACGACTCCGAGTCCCAGGATGGGTGAGGTTGGGAGGGACCCCAGTGGCTCATCTGGTCCCACCTTCCTGCTCCAGCAGGGCCATCCCAGAGCACATGGTACAGGATTGTGTCTGGATGGGTCTGAAATACCCCCAGTGAGGGGCACTCCACCCCCTCTCTGGACCGCTGTCCTGGGCTCGATCGCTGCACGGCAAAGTTCTGCCACAGCTTCAGCTGGAACTTCCTGGGCATCAGCTCCTGCCTGTTCCCCTTGTCCATCGCTGCAGCAGAGCCTGGTCCCTGCTCTGAGTCCTCCCTGCAGACAGGGACAAACAGGGATGGGGCTCTCTCTCATGTGTGCCTCCTCTTGAGGCTGAGCAGCCCCAGGTCCCTCAGCCCTTCCTTGGCAGGGAGATGCAGGCCCTTCATCATCTCTGCAGCCTCCACTGGCCCTGCTCCAGGAGCTCCATGTCTCTCCTGTCCTGAGGAGTCCAGAACTGGACACAGCACTCCAGATGTGCCTCCCAGGACTGACCTGAGTGGCTGAGATGGAGCTCAGAGACAAAGGATGATCCCTCGGGATCTCTGCTGGGACCAGTGCTTTTAGTGTCTCCA